TGGGTCAGGCTCGCCCCCCACGCACACCTCACCCCCACGCGCAACCCCTGCCCGTTCCCGCCCCCGGCCTGGTCCCCGTCCCCTCCCGTTTTCCCTCTGGGCCAAGGCTGCCGGCTGTCCGGCCAGCGTGCACCTTCCCCGCCCTCCTTTCTCACGGAACCTCAGTGTGGCCGGGGAGTTTACAGCTCTTTCCTCGGACCTCAGAAGAGCCAGCAAGACTGAAACTCGGTCGGTCCTTTTCCCCGGCGGCGCGGAGAGCCTGATCGCCCTTGTCGCCCGAGCCCGTCCCGGCTCCAGCCCCTGGGCTGAGCGCCGCGCGTGTGTGTGAATTACCTCGTGGGTTCACTCTACACGCCCATGAGAGGGACGGTCATCTTGGCCGTCTTCTACTTGTCGTCACCACCGCCGATCATTACGGTCGGGGCAGGACTACAGCCAGGCCAGTGAGGCCCTCGCCGTGAGGGTGTGTGTGTGTGTGTGTGTGTGTGTGAGAGAGAGAGAGAGAGGGTGGGTGGGTTGGTGGGTAATTTAGTGGAGTGTCCACAAAACTCTTCAGTCATCAAGAGAAATACTATTTTAATAGTATTTATTGTCTTGATGAGGAGGTATTCCCGGTGTTTTTGGTGCTCCCTTACGGTTTTCGTTTTCCCAAGGCAGGCGCCTCACTCATTTCATTCCGCTCTGATCCCCACCTTGTCCTCACCATCCCCATTCCGTGGACACGCGCTGTCCAGCCCACAGCCGCAGGTGGCTGCTGAGCGCCGGGTGTGTGCTTAGTCCTTCCTGAGTGTGCCCTGCCCCGAGGGTAACGCACACATGGGATGTTGAAGACTTGGCCTAAGATATGTAAAATATCTGAGTTTTTATAGGGATTACATATGGAAGCAATATTTTCTATATATTGAGTTAAAAAAAATAAACAATTTCACAGGTTTTTCTTTATTTTATATTTAAATGTGGCTAATAGAAAATTAGAAATTACATTTGCGACTCACACATTTCTAAGCAATTTGCCTCAGGTCACACAGCTCATGTGAAGCAAAGTCGGGACTCGGGCAGTCTGTTGACCGCGTGGGCCCTCAGGTTTGTTAACTGTACAGCGGGGACAATGACGACACCTCTCTGATCCGGGTCCTCGTGGAGGTGCCAAGCATGTATTGGCCTCTCTTGGTTACAAGCGCCCTCTAGGGAACGCCACTTCCCATCCGTAAAACAGAGCTAACGTCCAGGTTCTCCCCCGCCCCCACCCCGGGCACTCCTGCTTCACATCCCTCTTTACCTGGCTTTCTCTCTCTCCCAGCTGTCAAGTCCTTATGCACACCCATGGTCGTCACATGGCATAGACAGAGATACACAGATACAGACATATACATACAGGCACACAGGTGTAGAGGTACACTGACAAATACGCATACCTTGTAGAAGCAGATAAGCTTCTCACCCTGACGGCAGAGATTTTGTGTGCTGCTCTACCGTCCGCAGCTGGGACAGCGTTGGGCACGTACTTGGCACTTGATAGGTATCTGTTGAACGAACGAACGAACGAACGAACGAACGAGAGACAACATGGACTGTGCTTAGCTTGCACTGACATGACCCTTCCTGCAGGCATTCCCATGCCATGATGGGAGGTTCAGACCTGTGCGTGTGAAGAAACCATCTTCTGCTCACTCCTTTGGTTTCCCCAAGCATGTGTTCCTCGCCTCCTTGTCCTGGCTGGTATTGTGGCCATTTAGACAGGTGTCCTGGTCCCTCCCCTGGGTTGGGCTTGGCCCTGAGGACGGGAAGTTTGCCTAGCGGGTCTCTCCTGGCCCGCACCTGCGCAGGAGTGTCCCATCAAGCCCCAGGCAGTTAAGGGCAAGGCAAACAGAGTGCTTCGCAACCCGAACGTTAGGAAAGAGCGCCTTATCTTTCAGGGTGAGAAGAAGCCGGGTGAGGTCGGAACAAGACGGCGCCCGCCATGATAAGAGTGCAGACAGAATGAGAGAGCAGGCAGAGCTTGAGTCTTTCCTTAAGAACCATCGTTATTTCCCCAGAAGGGGGTGCACCGTTCCCGGAGGTACTGCAATACCGGGTCGATGCGTGGAGTGGACGGAGCAAGCTCCTATTCCATCTCCCTGCTCCAAAAATACATTTAATATAATGTCCTCGGATAGAGGACGTATCAGATATTAAACTGATAAGAACAGATACTACACTTGATCTTAGCCAAAAGGCCGAGAAGCGATACCCACCGCTCCGCCCGCGCCGGCACCCTCCTCCTTCCACCCCTATTTCACTCACAGTGATCCCGATCACCATCAAGCCAAGTCTCATCTCCACAGTCTCTTGACAGATATAGAGGACACATTAGACTCTGTGAAGATTTTTTTTCAATTCTCTACGTTTTTAAGTGAATTCTTATCTCCGCTTGGCGCGGTGGCCAAAGGGTCGATGCTCATTTGCATGCCCCGCCTTTCCCGTGCGGGTAGGCCGACCCTACCGGCGCCGTTCGGGCTTCCGGACCCTCCTCGGGACGACCTCTGCGCGCAGAAGCGGAAGGTGGGCTGCGGCCGAGCTCCTCCGCGGTACAAGCGCTAGTGAAATGACCGGACCCAGGGCATGTGGGCGGCGGCGGACCAAGCAAGGTGGGCTGCGGCCGAGCTCCTCCGCGGTACAAGCGCTAGTGAAATGACCGGACCCAGGGGATGTGGGCGGCGGCGGACCAAGCGTTCGCGGGGAGGGAGCCGTCGGGTCATGGCTGGGAAGACGAGAGGGTCCCCCGGGGCTGGCTCGGTCCAGGTCCAGGCCCAGGACTCGGCCGCCGGCCGAGAAACGCCCGACCGGGGTCGCCGGGCAGGGGCCGAAGAGAAAAAAGTTGGTCCCGGAGGTCCGGCCCCGCGAGGGCTGACTCCCTCCCTGGAAAGAGCTCTACCGGGACCCCCGCCCTACCCAGCGTCACGCCCGCCTTGGGGACTGAGGGAGCGTCAGCGGAGCTCCCGAGGCCGCCGGGTGTGGGGCCTGTGTCCGCGAGGTCCGGTGCGGTTTCAGTGCCGGGGCTGCGACCCGGAAACAGCTGGGCCCGTAGGTATCGCGTGGGCCCGGCCGCGGACAATACACAGTTTACCTGCAGGGCCAGTAGTTGAGACCGAGAGGTCGGGCCGCTTGCCCCCAACCACCGGGCTGGTGAGTGGGAGAGGCGTCCATTTCAGACGCCGCCTCTATCATATAAAAATCTTATCTCTCTCTCTAGATATGTTTATTTTTAGACTCCTTTCAGGGCTTTTCTTTTTTTTAATATATATGTTTACTGATTTCAGGGAGGAAAGGAGGTGGAAACATCAATGATGAGAGAACCGCTGATCGGCTGCCTCCTTCACGTCCCTACTGGGGGGATCAAGCCTGCAACCCGGGCCCCTTCAGTCCGCAGCCCCGCTCTATCCACGGGGCCAAACCAGCTAGGGCGTGGGCTTTTCTTTTTTTAAAAAGATCTTCTGCCTTTTAAAAAACCTGTCGATTCAACTGATTCTTTGGGTCACGCCTGCCACCGGGTGCGTCCTGGGGCGGCGCCGGTGAATGTGACCTGGGCCCGTGGTGGGCGAGGGCGCCTGCGCTCCTCCATCCCCTTCTGGCTGCCGCTCGGCCACATCCAC